CGGGGCGGGGCGGGGTGGGGCGGGGCGGGGCAGCAACAGGTTCCTCGCGCGCTCGCCTCCGGTCCCCTCCGGTCTCCCCGGTCTTCTCCTCTCCCGTGTTTACGTGCCGGCCCGTCTTTCTTGCCTCTCCATGGCGCCCGGCTGACCTCCCCGGCGCGCTCGGCTCTCGGCTCCCCCGTGCACGCCGTCAGCCTGGCGGCGCCCGCGCCCCGTCCGTGGTGTGGTCGTCTGCTTTTACGCCCTCCCCCCCTGTCGTTCATTGCCCCCCGCGGCTCTTCTCGCCACCCGCGCCCCACCCCACGCCTCCACCCCCGCCCCTCCGCGCCAACGCAAGGCCGACGTCATCATCGCCGTGGTCGCGGCTTGGCCCGGCCGCGATGGGCGTAGGCTTTAGGCCGCCACCCGAGTCTCCCGCCAGGTAGGCAACCCATGCCACTCGCGTGCGGCGGCGCGGCCTACCCCACTGGCACCTGTGACCCTTTCTGTTCTTTCCCTTCCGCGTCTGAATTCGAAACCATACCCGGAAATATCTTCGCGATATCAACCACCCCCACGCTGTCACGCCGTGCCACCCTCACGCGACCCCACCCCCCACACCATAACACCCCGTAAATTGGTCGGAATTAGACACAGCGACAGGCGCTGCCGGGGCCGGGCGCGGCGGGGAAGGCCCGGCCCACCACTAGACGGATGGGACAGCGGAGGTTCTGCTGCAGCCCGGAAGCGGCGAGACCGCGATCAAAGTGCCATCTAGCAAGAGGCATCGTCATAGGTAAAGGAAGAAAGAGTGCCTAGCCATGAAAAAAAAAATTCATTCTTTTCTTTTCCTTTTATATTTTTTTTATGAAAAGGGAAGGAAAACAGATAACATTATTCACTACCCGATAGTAGTGTGCCCAGGAAAGTGTATGGTACATCTGTGATGCATTCGCCCGCATTTACTTTTACTTTTTGCGCGTTATTTAGTTTCTATACAGCATGAAAAAATACCTAAAGTTTCTGTTGGCCAAAAAGTGCAGCACGAATAGAACACGCTGCACATTACATAAAGGCGAGACTACCGCTTATACACAATTAAAACTAAATCAACAACAGTCAGTCCAACAATCATGTCCCCTCATCACCACAATCAATTACACACATACACACTCATCCTTTATAATATAAAAAAAATACTTTACATGACTAGCATTGAGCACAAGCCTCTTCGTAACATTCGACAAAAATAAGATGTTTCAGTTCCGGCATTATACAGTACTTTCCAGGAGAGATAAAACATCTGCAGTCCGTACTGTGTGTCCGTACTGTCGTGTTCATGTCTTTACATACAGTTCATGAAAATATCCTGGTGATTTTTATGTTGTTGTTTTTTTATAAACTTCGCCGGAAGTTCCCAAAATGCCATATGCCCACTGTGCAGTACCGGCTGCGCAAGGGGACCGCAAGAGTCGCTGGGGTGTCCGGCGCGCCCCGACCGCGCTTATCCCAGCTCCGCGAGGACGGAGTTGAGGTCCTCCTGCAGCATGAGCGACATTTCTCGGTGCTTGCTCAGGTCGTCCTTGACTCGGTCGATGTTGGCCTTGAGTAGGTAGTTTCCCTTCTTGAGCGCGCCCAGGATGCCCTCGTGGCGTCTGGTCCTGAAGAAAGAAAGGATATCGCGTCACAATGCAACTCATAACGTGGTGCTGCTGCCCAACCGCCGCCACCGAGCCGCGTGCCTCACCTGGAGTTCAAGTTGTTTCTCTTGTCGTCCACAGGAGCGTCGGCTGGCAGCTCGTCCCCGCTGCCCTCGTCCGCCTCGCTCTCCTCTGACTCGGACTCCTCGCTCTCCTCCTCTTCTTCCTCGTCATCCTCTTCCTCCTCGTCCTCTCCCTCCTCGTCGTCCTCTTCTTTCATTAGCTTGGCCATCTTGTCGACCTCTTTCTGCAGAGACTGTACGAGGGAGAAAAGGGAGCGTTTGATCAGTTGTAGTGCTGATCGCACCTCGGCCTCTGGGGTTTTGGGGGTTTTGGGTTAGTTTACCCGCGGGGCTGGGGAACGATCAGAAGACGTTTGTGCCAGCCTATGGCCAGATGGGACGTCATTCTCTAGGAACTTTAAAAATTGAAGCGCCGCGACACCACCGACCGGGTCGACCGGGCGACCATCGGTCAGCCTAAAAGGACCTGTTTTTAGACAGCGGAGTTGTCTTCTACGATCGTTTTGCCCCGATAGTCAATTGTTTTACATGGCCCTTTATGGGATATTAGAAACCGGTCTAACGATTTTCTTAATTTTTTTTAAAAAATTAGAAAGTTCAATTTTAAATTGATCCTCGAAGTTTAATCAAAAACTTAATTTTCAGTTTTTTGCAAATTTAAATTGAAATCGCTGTTTCTATGGTGATACTCGGCTCGTCACGAGAGAGATGGAGATAGTTTTGCATGCAACAAGTAGGCCGAGCCGAGCCAATCCAGAGGAAAGAAGACACCTCTAAAGTCTGCGTTCAAACAATCCCTTCCTTTGCTACAATGCACAGAACTAGGATAACACTACTTTTTTTCGAACGCCACCACCTTACCGCCTTCTCATAATATTCCCATTTTCACCACTAATTCTAAATAAAACAAGCAAATCATCAATAACATTTTAGCCGGGTTTTCCGAAGGAGCACACTTCCTTTACTATAATAAGGAAACAGACACAGATGGCAATACTCATATTCGAACGCCACCACCTTACCGCCTTGTTATAAAGGCTTTCATTTCAAACACACGCTAAAGGGAAGACCATCGACGCCATTTTCATTGAGCTTAGAGTCAAATTTATTGGTCTTATTTAATAATTCCTGATTTGAACCACATAAATACAGCCCATTAACTACAATATGGGGTATACTAATTGTGTTGTTCCTGGTTGCACAAGTAAACCAGACACAGGTATAGTTATAGTATTCAAATATTGGCCCAAAAACCAGATCCTTTCTGTGCAATGGCAGGAATATTTACCACAAATTGTAACCTTAACGCGTTAACGGCCCTATAGATTTCAATTTTTACGTCGGAAATAGTCAAAATATTCTATTTGATTAGATGTTGTCATAACTAATAAATGATATGATATTTTTTTTTAATTATAGGTTGGTTGTACTAATTGGTTTCGCATACTTTTTGCATGCTATGAAATAATTGGCTGAGTGCCGATTAGGATCCGCAACCAGATTTAGATTAATCGAAACTAAAGGACACGAGGCCATCATTCGGGATCGCCCCATGAAGCTTTTCCATTGTTGACACTATCATAGAGGAAATTTTTTAAAAATACAACATGGTTTAGTCTATGTCTGTTGCCTTTTATTTGTATCAGCACTTAAGTCATATTGTGTTGTATCCTCTCTTTCGGCAATTTTTCCACTCCGAAATCTTTTATGTCAACGAAATGTGAGTTGTTCTTATATTTCGTAATGTTGACATCACTTCGCGAAAACTAATCGTTTGCCAAATGTTAAACGTCATATAAAACAAAATTTTTGAAAAAGTGGACCCTCTACGTCCCAGGCGGAGCAAAGAAAACGAATTGGCAATGATATATGCGAATTTAAACGTCGATTTTACGGAAAACTAACTTTTTTATGATTGTCAAAATGTGAAGTATCATTTCATAATGTTTCTCAAACTGATTTAGTGAAGGCGTGTTCCAATGATAAAAAAAGTTTTCAGGAACAGAATCAGACCAGACGGACCATAACATTGCACCCAGACGCAAGAAATTGACTGACCAACATTCCTGACTTTCATTTTTACATATCTTCATCATTGACAAGCACCGCGCGGCAAGAACACTAGAACTCTATTGTTCTTGCCGCGCGGTGCGCAACTTAGAAAATAACATCGATTCCACATTCACATTCAGATGCCGCACTACAGCCTTCTAAGTGCTTGAACTTCGGCTAGTATTATTAGCGAAGGCGGATCCACAGTTGTGGTTATGAATCATAGTTTTTTTTTTTAAATATTCCTCGGAGCCGCGCCTCAGCTGCAAAGGGCGATAGGTTGGCAGCATTGTTAGCCGCCGCGCCTTCTTTTAAATGCGATTTGGAAGTCACAAGTACAGTCTTCGCTTACAATGCCTATCGTCGACTGATGCTGACCGGTCGCGTTCGAAACAGCGTTTATGCTGAACCTTTTTACACGGCGGCGACTTGTTATTATTCAAACACGACCACTGAAAGCAAGGAGTATCGACACCAGGCTCATATAATTATTGGATAGGGTTGTACAAAGCAACAGGCGATCGTTTCTATTGGTCAAACTTTCCCGCGGAAATTCGTGATTGGCTAAAATTTCCCTGGCTCGACTCGGCCTACTGCTCAGCTCGTCATTTCCATGGAAACTTGTGGATGAAAACTCAAATTTCTCAAATTTC